AAGATGTAATATCAAATCATTTCTCTTTACATATAGAGGAATAATCCAAATTTTTCATTTTCATAATTTATCATACTCATTAGGTAACTGTTCTACCACATCTTGTATATAAATGTGATTTTCAATATCTCCTAGATTTACTTTTTTAGCTTTTTATATTTCTTCTTCATTCAAAAGATATATTACTATATTTTTAATTTTATTGATTATTTCAGTTCTTTCAAAAATCACTTCAATTTGATTTTGAAAAAAGAGATTTTTAACCATGAGAATTTTTGCAAAAGTGATTTTTTCTTAATTTGTTCTGCTTTAACAGAAACTTTAAGAAGCTTTATGTGGATTTCTTTGTGCCAGATTTTAGGAGAGATATTTTTAGATTTCTCTACAAATACTTTTTTATTTCTTTCATTTTTATTCTTTTTACTTCTTACTGTTTCAAATTCTTCCTCAATATATAAGTCATCATTCTCTTCACCATCTGAAATTTCTTTGTATTTTGGTTCTGCTACAAATAAAACACTTGATTCTGGTTTAACAACATTACTAATATTTATTTCTGTTTCTTCTTCAAATGACTCTCTAACAGCTCTTTTTTTTACTTGCGTGTACTGGTACCAAAGGTACCTTTATTTCTTCTTCTATATTCATAGTTGTATTATTTTCTTTTTGTATGTTGTTAGCTGTAAGAATAAAATTTATATTTTCCTTATTTTCTTGATTGTTGTTATCATCCTGTAGACCAAAAATACTTCTGATATTATATTTATATTTTTTCTTACCCATAAAAGTAAAAAGATAGAAAAAAATAATTAAATTTTATATATAACTACAGTGAAAAAATGTATTTCTCTACCTTGGAAATATTTGGTACAAGTGATCGATGAGAAGAGTTCTCATTTTTTCCACCCTCTAAAAAAAAAAAAGGATACTTATCCAATTCCTTATGTAGATAATATATTAAATACAATGTAAGGTATAAAATAATTTATCACCTTTGTTATACTTATAGTAGTAGTTACAGGAATTGACATTTCTAATAAAGTTCTATTGTAATATTTTTTGGTTATTATTTTAATGATTGGAAAATTTGAACTTTCAATAATTTCATTTTATAACAAAGTTACATTGAATCATTTATACTAATTTTTTTTTATTTTTTTGTAATTCTTTTTATTGAATTATTGATATGATATTAAGATATTATTTTTTTTATTTTAATTATAAAAGAAATTAATATTTCAAATGCATTAAAAATATTTAATATTTCGAAAGTATTAATTTGAAATTTACATTTTTTTTTATTTTACATTAAATTTTTATTTGTTAATTTTAGATAAAAAGAAATTATTTCTATTTATATATGGATAAATATAAATAGATAGGTAAAAAATTAAAACACTGTATATTATTTATGCAAAGAGTTATTGTTACTAGTTGACCTTTTGAGCTAATTTTATTTTTCAAAAGGCAATTTACAACTAGCAACTCATAAACAGTTACTTTGGTTTATGAATTGAAGAAGATAATAGAAGAAGAATAAAAGAAATATTAAGTTAAATACTAAAAACTAATTAAAAGACTTAAGAATTTAGGATTACAGGATTTAACTATTGATTAATGATTAAATTTTTAAGATCAATTTAAGAAATTAGAGCAAAGAATTAAATATATTTATCAATGGTTTATAAAATAATAACAGTATTTTATAGATCAGAATTTATATTCGAAGAATATAAATCAATAAAAGGATAATAGAGTTTTAATATAAGAAATATAAGTTTATTACAAAGAAAATCAATAATTCAATTACTTTAGAATTATAAAAATATTAATTCAATAGAATTAATTACAGTTGAGATTGTTTTCTAAATTTTACTATTTAGAATTATTCGAATCTTATTTGAAAACTATCTAAATCTCCCTTGGGGTGAAAAGAAAACTTACCCTTTTTATAATATTTGATTTGACCAGTAAGTTGATCAGTAAGTTGACCAAAATCTTGATCAGTAATTGTGCCAATCAGTTGGTCACTAAGTTGGTCAATCAGTTGGTCACTAAATTGGTCAGTAAATTAGCCAGTAACTAGACCACTATGATCTACATTATTGATTTACATAATTCGTATTACACTACTAAATGAATAAATACTAATAACTAAATATACTAAATATACTAAAATAACTATACTAATAAAATAAATACAAATAAGAAATAAAAATAAGATAAAATAATAAGAAATTATAAAAGTGAAAAAACTCATGGTAATATTGTATTCTAAAAAAAGATTATTTCCTTCTACCGTGCGATATTATTAAAGTTTAAAATGTTCTTTGTTACTGTTGTTTTGTCAAGATCTATTTCATCTGTATATTTTCAATAGATTCTTCTAAATTTCTGATTCTGTTTGTGTAAATATTGGTTGATTGATAAAGAATTCTCTGTATAAATACTTTATGGTCCATATTTTTGATAATATGTTGCTCTAAAAATCAATTAAAATTTTTATATAAATTTGTATATGATTTTATTAAAAAATAAAGAGAAATTTCATCTAATTACATTTTGATCATCTGGAAATTATTAATTTGGTAAAAACGGCCAATATTTTTATTACAAACTTGATTCTTTAATCTATTCTTTGCAACTGATTTTTTTTGTGAAATTGACAAGATTTTCTATAAAAAGATGCTAAACTAATGCTGTAGTATTTTTTTTAAGAGAAAATAGTATCATACCATCTAAAAATCAATTTTATTGAACTTGACCTTCTTTTTTAGGATTAGGAAATGCTGTCATATTATTTTTCATTGATGTTAGTTACTACCTGGGAGAACAAGCTTTCTAAATTATGTGAATGATTATAAATATTAAAGATAAAAATATAAAATATAGAAGGAATTCAATTAAACAGGAATAATGTCAATTTATCTAAATAATTAACCAACTAATAATCAATAACTATAACTAATCAATAAATAAAAATACTAAATCAAACCAAATGACTAAATCAATAATCAAATCAAAATAAAATAACTATAAATTAAAATCAATCAAAAATCAATAAATCAAACTAAAATAGAAAAAGGTGAGTTTGGGTTTACAGGGTTTCTTTGGTTATTTCAACAACACTTTAAGACAAAAGTATAAAGTAATTGTTATTTTTATTAAAATAAAAGAAATAGGAATTGTATGAACTTTACAAACTGTCCTGGACAAGATAATTTCTCTTGTCCTTATGTACATTTCTATACTGGGGTCTAAGAACCTCACTTGGAGTTCTAATGCCTACTCTGAGGTCTAAGGATAAACAGACCTCACCTGGGGTCTCATTAAAGACCTCAACTGAGGTTCAAGATTCAAGACACCACTTGGGGTCTTGGAAGTCCTTTTGATCCTCCACTAGCCTTTTCTATCTTAATTCTATTATAGTTAATATGAATTCTAATATATTCTCTAAATAACTAACTATAAAAATAAAAATAGAACTAAACATATATAGAACAATTCTAAAACTAATACAATAACTACTAATAAATAATGAATAAATAATTATAAATAACAAAATATGACAAGAAAGAATAAAAAAAAAAATCAATAATAAAAAAAATAGAAAAAAAAACTTCTAACAATGTGTAATCTTTTATTTAAAATCAATTAATACAGTTGAATCTGTATAAATGCATACTGTATAAAAGCATAACGCATAAAATTTTCATGGCCCATATGAACTATAAATTATAAATTTATAAAATAGCCATTTTCAATCTTAAGAGGTACTGCATCTCGGCTGAAACAAAAAGTGTCACTATTTGTTTATACTATATTTGTAAATCGCATAAATCACATTTATAAATTTCTTAATCGAAACATTTAATCGTTATTTAATATTTTGCTAATAATAAATTACATTTATTATTTTTTTTTAATATTTACATTTATTATTTTTTAAATATAAAATATTTAACTTATTATTTTTTAAATGTAAAATGTTTACACTTATTATTTTATTAAATAAATATTAAAAGTATTAGGAAAATTTTTATTTACGCCAAAAAAGGAAAAATTCTTTCATCATAATCAAATGATTTTCATAACAATTGATCGATCATATTTATTATAAAAATATTTATTTTTTAAGAATGTTCTAAACCTTACTGACAAGACCTGGGTCTTCTTTTCCCCCTCATTTTCTCGCTTATTCTCCTTCTGAAACAGTTAATGTTGATTAAATTTTCTTTTATCCTACGATATCATCATTAAGTTTTATGTATAAAGTCTTTTGATTTCCGAATGTATGGTGACTGTTTACTTTTTAAAAAGTTCGCCGACAATTTTTCTTAAAAAACTTTATTTTTTCCAAACAAAAGTCTCATATTATTATTTATTATTTTTTTACTTATTATCCCTCCCACCATACAATATTATAATCATTAGGTTTCCTGTTTCAAATAAAATTTTTCATGTGAATTCATATTTATTCAATTTTTTATTTTTTACCCTTTGAAATGTTATAACAGAAAAAATAATAACGATAATATCATATCATATGATGGAAGAAAATATTTTCAACTGTAAAAGGCAATCAACTCATCTGTTCGAGTTTTATAAAAGTTTTCTTTAAATAAACTATGTTTTTGCGAATAAAATTTCTGTGATTCATAAATATTGGTTTAATATTTAACTTAGTTACTTTTTGATAATCAAATCTCAATCCACGTAAAAAAAAATCATAAGCAAAGAAATTCGAAAAAAAAATATACTATTTCGCCGAGAGGGTTATTCTGAAAAAAGAATCATCAAAAACTATGATTTTTGTAATGCAAATAAAAGTTTATATGTTCATATTTATATTAAATATTTATATTATTAAAATTTGATTCAAATTCTTATAAAAAGGACGTTTTTTTTCTTCTCTCTCATTCAGAACCAATTCTTTCAGAAGACTAAAAGATTAATAATAAAATCCACTTTCTTAAAAAAAAATCTAAAAATCTTAAATCATGCAATATAAGAAAACCTCTAAATTTGCTTTTGCTTTCCTCGTCATTCTCAGTTTGGTTATCGTTGGTTTGGTTGATGCTACTCCTGTTCCAGCAGAAACAAACGAAAGTGATCTCATTTCATTTCCGGCCGAGAATATGAAAAGAGGCAATACATGCCATGAATGTGATGTGAATGATAAACCTTGTTGTGGTAGCCTCTTCGTCGCCATCTTATTTGAGGCTGGCGCCTTTGTCTATATTAATTTATTAAAAGTTCTCGTCATTATTGTAGTTAAACTTACTACAGTAGTTAAATTAGACGCTGTTACTTGTCTCCTTGATGGAGTAGCAATTAAAATATTGGAGTGTGTACTCGTGAATATGAAATTGTGTATATTAGCTGACGTAACATTAATTGGGTATCTTAATGCCTTGGCAGGTATTATTACTGTTAACGCGGGTGATTCGAAATTTTTATTACCGTGTCAACCATGTGGTGATAAGTGTAATCCATAATAGTAAGCGATAAGTGTAAATGATACTTTTCCAGTTATTACACTTATTATATTAGTTCACAAGATATTAGTGTATAACAGAATATTTTTTTTAATTTGTATTTGTATGCTAGCAACCTTTTTCAGTTATTATATTAATGTATAACAGATATTATTTTTTTTTAATTTGTATTTGTATGCTAGCGACTTTTTTTCAGTTATTATATTTCTTATATTAGTTCACAAGATATTAATGTATAACAGATATTATTTTTTTTTTTAATTTGTATTTGTATGCAAGCAACAAAATTTGACATTTCTAATAACATATTGTAACATTTTTTCAGTTATTATTTTAATGGTTGGAAATCCGAATTTTCAATGATTTATAAAAATGTATATGTAATTTAACATAAAAAATCTTGATCTATAAAATTTCTTCGATCAATTCTTTCAAAAATAAATAATAAAATTCATCTTGAATCATGTTCTATAAGAAATCTACAAATTTACTTTGTATTCTCAGTCTCGATTTTCATTAAGTTATACATTGCAGAACCTCTATAATATGAATTTGGTTAGTTAAAAAATTTATTGAAATTGATTAAATTGAAAAATATATTAAAAATAGTAATTTTGATCTAAAAAATAATTTTCCGTGATCTTTTTTCGAATTTGAAATTCCATGCACAAAAACTTTAAAATCTCTTTAAGTACAATTCGAAAAATATGCTCAAAAAATCTTGGAAAAGATATTACTGGGAAATGGCAAAGTATGCAAAGTAATAGTTCTCCGAAATATTAATCACGTGATAACTATTTGTTTAAATGAAATTTTTTTTCCAGCAGATTGGAAATTCATTTATATTTATTATAATGGTTTTAAATATACCCAATCCAAAATATTTTTGTTTATACTGTGATTTTGAGTTAAATAATCGTTGGAATATGAATTCACAATGAGTAATTGATATGGACATTTACATATGTACATGTATATTATATGTAAAAAGAACCTGCATTATTTCAAGAAAATTATATTTTTAATGAATTGCATGTATTTCAGATGTACTAATGGACCTCTTTGATGATTTATTTTTAAAATAAAAGGAAATTGAATAACAAATCCAAAACCAAATTGAACAAATCATGAAAAATATTAAAGTACATTTTAAATTTTTTTTAAAACAAAATAAATGATAGAAAATGAAATTGGACTTCTTTGAGGGTCCTGATAAGAAAAATTTTCAAAAATTTTGGCATGGTTTTTATAAATCATAAGAAAAGAATGGATTAATTTATTTTGTCAACCAAATAAAAAAACCATATAAATTTAATTTGATAGGTATTTTCATAATCTCCAAATAAAATATAGCTTTTATTGTTCTCTCGGAAATTCCATTGATTCTAGTAAAATATTTGATTTAGTCTAGTTATTCCAGAATGTCCTTCAGATATTTGAATTTAACAGGACTAAACTTGAATTTTTCTTCATTTTTAAAAGGTACACGAAACACATTTTTCTGGCAAGATTTATATTGATAAATGTTTTTTCCTACCTGCACGTTTGGAAAAAATAATTTATTTGCTTCGAATAGGTTGAGAAAGTAATTAAAAACGGGGTGTTAATTTATTATGCGAGTGTACATTTCTTTTATTAATTAATAAATTTTTATTTGAAACAAAGTTTGCAACACGTGTGTATATATTACATATTATCATATCTACACGATCATCATATGTGACGGAATTGAATATAAAGTTTTGATAAAGTAACGTAAATATAAATAAAAAATAAACGGCATTTTTCTTCAAAAATTTTTTTTTATTGAATCATGTTACGTTCTTGAACATTTTACTTTTCACTAAAAATTATGATAGAGCCATTGACAATTTTGAAATGAGATTCATCTCATCTTATCCGGATGAATCATCTGATTCACAATATTACAGAATAAATTCCTGATTTGAAAAAATAACTTGAAATTTATAAGTCAATTACAAACTTCTTTATCTGTTATTTTGTAGATTTGACTAGCATTGTAGCACAGGTAAGGGTTTTTTTTTATGCAATAAGTTTTTTTAAGATTGCCCTGTTAGAGTCGTGTTATGAATATAATCTAGTTAAATTTCAAGAAAATCTGGTCGATACATGAATTTTCGTGCTTATATATACAACAACAAAAAATAAATTAAAGATTGGTTTATTAGACATTAAAAAAAAAAAAAAACGTATCATTCATTAGAATGTATTATATAATAACATTTAATTTTGAGAGATACCAAAATTTTACATATAACTAAAATATTAAAAAACATTATTTTATTTTATGAATTGTTAGTTTATGTATTAACTGGTTTCACTTTGTTTAAAACCTGAAAAACTTCATAATCTTCTACCAAAAATTTTGTGGTTTCAAGAATTCTGTGTTCGTAATCATGTGGTGTACAAACTCCATCAAGAAAATGGAGGTCTCCTACTCCAAATCCAATCCATTGCTTGGAAATAGTATCACGTATTGCGCATCTTGGATTTTTTACTCGACTTATTATTGCAGATTTGTGATCTTTGCTAAGTGAGAATATAAAACTTTCAGTGGTTTGTCTCCAATCATTTGATGAAGTCCATCCAAGTGGATTATATCCACCCACTACAATAGGTGATCCTTGTATTTTTACTACAACTACATTTGTACCTTTATAATCACAACGTTTATGAAATTCTTCTTGACTAAAACCATCACGACTTCCTCGAATTAATAATTTAAAATTATATGGAGCTTCATTTGGTTTATAAAATTCTTTAGGTTTATTATGTATCCAATTTGTAATAACGGCCGCAAGTCGACTTGTGATGATTACGGAATCTGGATTTAAACCCATTCTTGGAGGTAAAACTGTTGTCGTTTTAGGTTGACCTTGAGGAACAATATAGAATAGTTGCAGATCTTCCTTAAGGGTTCGTGATAATATTTTTTTATATGGACGAACTTTAAAAAAATAATCATGAGCGGGAATTTGAAAAAATCTAATATATTGTAAACAGTTATGTAAAGTTTGTTCCAAAGACTCAAAATCTTCTTGAGACCATTTGGTTACATCTGAATCGATCATCGGGTTTTTAGCAAGACCCCATTTAACAACGCATTCCCAAATATCAACTTCATTCATTACAAGATCATCACGTTGTAAAAGTGCTATCAATGCGGTTTCTTCAAGCGATGCGAAATCCTTTGATGTGAAAACAACTTTTTTTTTTTTTTTTGAAATTGATAAATTTTAATAAATATTTATAATAAAATTCAATAATTTGTTTTCAATAAAAATAGAATTTTGAAAATACCTGAAGGATCATTGCATATCAATTCTGCACAATAATCTTGAAGTTTACGTAAGGCCTTATATGAGGATATTTTCTGAAAGATTTGAACAAAATTTTCGAGCAGCCATCCTTTTTCACTTAAAATAATGTGTTCTTGTATATAATCAACAAGTTCTACAAGTGCCAGTTCATCAGCTGCCGCTACTAAATCGAAATACTCCTGTCGATGTTCCGCATCGGTGTTTAAATCTATGATACTTGTATACATATATCTATTATGAAATAATTGATGATTTGTTACGTAATATTTTCTTATGGTAACATTTTTGCCTTTAAGAGTTAAGTTTTACTTACTTTAGAATAGGACGAAATAATTTAGGTGAAATATTTGGTTTTCTAAAAATAACTTTACTGACTTCTTTCTTGGCCCAGCTAGCGGATAAATCAGCATTGAAATAAGCAGAACGAGAACGTAAAATGAAAGAATGCGCTTGAAAAGCTTCTACGTTTGGTTCTTCTCCAACGTAAATGACAACATCATAATCATCTGCATTTTCATAACGGTTACTAATATCACGCAATAAAGCATTAGCCAAACTTGAGGATGACATGAGTTGGTAAATTATTTATTATTTTTATTATTTAAAACTTAGAAAAAAAAGAGAAAAGAGAAGATACGTGTGTCGATATCTATTATGATAAAAAATACTGCATGCAGAAGTAATGTATGAGTTACATGACTATGCATCTGTTAAAACTCAGCCATTTGCTGAAGCATGTATTTTCATGATTTTGCATAGATTTGTCAAAAAATTTCTATTAATCTCAGGAGTACCTAGCTGCGTCAATGCGTTTTGCATTATCGTACATCGTTTTGCATTTAAAATAGCGAATTTTATTTGTTCACGAATTAAGTCCAATACATTTTTTAATATTTGATACTTAAATGTTTGAATCTATGCAACCCGTGATATGTATTTGTGGCGCATTACTACATAATTGTGTGTGGCTATGTCTGAAACAAATGTTAACATGCAACGAGATAAAAGAATGGATAATTATTGGCCTCATTTATGTATGTTGTTCTATTTCTGTTTCGAATATTCCAGAATAAATCATATTCACTTTACACTGCAGGCTGCAGGTGGAATCTTCAGATTCTTTTACCTTAATCTAGAATATCAATTATAATATGAAAAAGTCTTACTAAAGAAAATTAATAAATCACATATTGGTTTGATTTTTAGGAAAAAAGTAAATGATATTATATTATAACTTATTCAAGTAGTATCTCAAAAACTTATTTAGAGTCTAGATATTTTTTTTTTGCGTAACTATAAGATTGACAAAGATTTCAATAATGCCCGAAGCAATTTTTCCTTTGTTATCTCATGAAGCCAAACTTTTAGGAAATTTTATGCAGGTCTGTGAGAACTGCGAGAATAAATTATGAAGTTTGGTTAGGTTCAATGTAAGGCGCAAGATTGTGGTGATGGTGCATATCCGAACTAACCAATTGAATATTAAAGTTGATTTCTGCAGACAAAAAAAGTTTTTTCTTCGTAGTTACTAATTAAAAGTCATTGAGCTTTTTTGTAATTTTATGTTTACGCACAAACAGATAATAAATTTTTTTAGCATTTGTATTACGTTTGTGTAATGGTTTGTTTTTCTTCGGACTTCGGCAACAATGGAAAACTAGTTTATTTCCAAATTTAGAAGAATCATTTTCCTATATATTATCACAAATTTCCCCCTCTTTTTTTTTTTTCTCCTCAGAATAATAATAATAATAATTATAATTTACAATGAAACCGTCTGATTTATTAGAAGCACTTTTGAAGGATATTTGTAATTTATTTGATAATGCAGATGATTATAATGTTTCTATTCAAGTAGGTGAGGAGCCTGATATCGAAGTTTTTCGAACTCACTCAGTTATTTTGAGAGCTAGGTCATCATACTTTCATGCTGCTTTATCATCTAATTGGGCAAAGAAAAAGGGTGATTTGATCACTTATAAGAAACCAAATATTACTCCAAAAGTGTTTAAAGATATTCTAAAGTATTTATCTTTATTATTATTATTTATTATTATTTTATTATATTATTTATTATATTATTTATTATTAAAATTATTAAATTATTTATTAAATTATTTTATTATATTTTTCATTATCATTTGATGACTATTTATTAATTAATATTATAATTCATAATTTTATTCATAATTTTTATTTTTTATTATTTTTTATAGGTATATTTATACTGGTTCTATTGATTTGAAAAATAATAAATCTCAAGAAGAATTGCTTGACTTATTAATTGCCGCAGATGAACTTGTGTTAGACGAATTAGTTGAATACATTCAGGGTCATATTATTCAAAATGAAGAAGAATGGATTCGTCGTAATATAATTCAAATCTATCAAACATCAACTAAATATAAAGCCTGTGGGATATTAAAAACCTATTGCGAAAAAATAATTTGTAAAGACGCTTCATCGATATTTCAATATCACGAATTTTCATCTTTAGAAGAATCTTGTCTTATCAATCTTTTGAAAAATGATGAACTGGAATTACAAGAGGTTCAAGTATGGGATTATGTGATAAAATGGGCGTTGGCTCAAAATCCCAGTATTAGTTCAGATACTACGAAATGGACTAGCGAAGATGTTTTTGCCATGGAAAAAACTCTACAAGTATGTATACCACACATTAGATTTCACCAAATTAAAGCTTCAGATTATTATCGTAAAGTAAGGCCATACAAAAAGTTATTACCCCGTGATTTGAAAGAAGATCTTAAACTTTCTTATTTAGTACCCGAAAGTGAAGCAAAATATTTGAGATTACCTTCTCGAATTCCTATACGTCTTCAAGAATCATCTATTATTACTGCAGAACATGCAGCATTAATTTCTAGTTGGATTGATCGAAAGGAATCAACGTATGAATTAAATACTATTCCCTATGAATTTAAATTAATTACACGTGGAAGTCGTGACGGGAAAACTCGAGAAGCTTTTAAAGATCATTGTGATAAACAAGGACCTACAGTTACAATAATTAAGATTAAAAATACAGAACAATTGATTGGTGGTTATAACCCAAAACAATGGAGTTCATCTGGACAATGGTTGGTAACTAAGGACAGCTTTATATTCTCATTGGGTACGGGTCGAGATCTTCAAAGCAAAGCTATTCTTAGTCGAGTGGCTAATCCTGAACAAGCCATACGTGATTGTGCACCAATTTATGATTGTGTGGGTTTTGGTTGTGGGGATTTGCACATAATTGAAGGATCTTGCGTTAGAAAAGATTATGAACGTGAAATTATTAATACAACAACATTTTCAATTGAAGATTTTGAGGTTTTTAAAATTATTAGAATTCATTAAATAATTTCATAACTATTATAATTTGTTACAATTATTATTATTTCTAAACATTATTTATTCTCTCAATCCACATAATAACAAACACATAATCAACATAATAACCAATTTATTAAACTTATTTAGAATTTTAGAATAATTTAATTGTATCAAGCGCATAAGATATTTTTAGTATTAACATTATTTTTTATTATTTATTATAATTTTTTTGGGGGATGAGAACCACTTTAACATAAGATATTATATCATATATTATGAATATATTTATTATGAATTTATACCATTTAATTTAAATAAATCATATATATTTTTATTCTGTTTTATAATGTAAAAACGTTAAAATTATTATTATTATTTATAAAATTTTATTGAATTTTTATTTGTTATTATTATTATTATTAAAATATTATTCTTTATTATTGAATTTCGTAGACACGAAAATATTAACTGTATCGCGAATGTTTTCGTAGTACAAGCTTTTTTTTATTAATTCAGTTTCTTATTCTGGGACAACGATCGACCAAAAAAAAATGACAAACAAACAATGGGTGCCAATAAATCATCTTTAAGGGACAAGTAAGAACATAGATCAGTATACTTATTGATTTTTTATCAAATAAAATTTCAATATAAAATGATATTAATCATATCATATTATGCCATTAGTCGGTAAGATATTAAAGTTTCAATCCAATTCGATCTATTGCATGAACATTATGTTATGTTATAGTTATAGGGATTATGATATGATCGTAAGTGAATATTAAAATTATAATTATTGAAATCAAAACGATCAAATATATTTATCAATCACAAAATAAAATTGTATACTTTTTAATAATTATTTAAAATCGAAATTTAATTTATTCAAAATTAAATAACATATTGAATCAGTTATTTATCAATTGCACGTAGTGGGTGAGTATGTGATTCATGATCAAGTTTCATACTAATTCAACATAAAATAACACTTTTTCTAATTAATTATCAATCAACTGCACGTACAGTCGCGTTGGAAAGTAACGCCCGATTTTTTATTAAAGTAAAAATTCCCGATATGTACAGTCGCGTCGCAAAGTAACACCCGATTTTCCGGTGCATCAATATGCAATATTTCACAACCGATTCCCCCTTTTTTTTCTTTTTATATTTTTTTTTCTTATCCATTTATTTTTTTATAATTGAATAAATGTTATATAACAATTTTTCCAGTTAAAAATGACATCCACTCACGCCCAGTTGACTTCTCAAGATAAAGGGAAAATACTGGCATATACTGAGACTTTAAATGCCACCCAAATTACAAAAAAAAATGGAACGAGATCCTACCACAATATGTAGGTTTATTCCCAAGTACAAGAAAACTGGGAAAACTGAAAATTTACCATAATCAGGATGGCCACTGGCCCTTAATAATGATGAAAAAGATGCACTTGTAAACAAAGTCACAAAAATACGACATGCACCATTGCACGAAATTATCAATAAGTTAGGTTTAAGCTGCAGTTTAACAACTGCTAAAAAACCCTATATGATGCTGGGATTCATTCCGATATTGCAGCAAAAAAGCCATTTATTTCAGAAAATAATGCAAATAAATGCATTAGTTGGTGTGAAGAAAATAAGAACAAATCTGTCTATGATTGGTTATGCATAATTTTTTCAGATGAAATGAGCATGGAAATTGAAAAACAATCACAACAAATAAAAGTATGGCAACATACAGGAGAGAGATATGATTTTGGGTGTTTAACACCCACTTTTAAAAGTGGTCAGTGTTCATTAATGGTATAGGGATGTTTTGTGGGAGAAATAAAAGGACCATTATTGTTTTGTGATGAATTTAAAGAAAAAAAAGAAAAAAATAAATGCAGATACATATATTAGAATTCTAGAGACTCACCTTTTACCATTTTATAATACAGCTCATGAGTTAATAGGTGGGAAACTGATGTTTTAATATGATAATTCTCCAATCCATACTACAAAAAAAAAACTGTAAAATGGTTTGAGACAAAAAAATTTAAAAATATGGCCTGGCCAGCAAATTCTCCTGACCTTAACCTTATAGAAAATATCTGAAAATTGTTAAAAGACAATATCCAGAAACAAAAAAATTTTCAAAAACCATAGATGAGCTCAAGACTGCTTTGAGTGAGAAGTGATCAAAATTTGATGTGTCAATTTTTAGGAAGGTTGTAGATTCAATGTCACAAAGAATTGAAGCTGTATTGGATGCAAAGGGGGGCCAACAAAGTATTAATTAATTCTAAAAAAAAATGTTATATACTGTACATAATATAGAAATAGAATAAATCATGTACATATCAGAATTTTTTTTTAATAAAAATCAGATGTTACTTTGCAACATGACTGTATATGATGTAGAAATAGAATAAATCATATACATATCAGAATTTTTCTTTTAATAAAAATCAGGTGTTACTTTCTTTGTGACACAACTGCACATGATTTATTCTATTTTTATATTATGTAAATAAGCTTTTTTTATAATTAACTAATACTTAGTTGATTATCTTTTTGCATCCAATGCTGTTTTAATTCTTTATGACATTTGAGTTCACAACTTTCCTAAGAATTGATCATCAAATTTTGACCACTCCTTATTCAAAGCAGTCTTGAGCTCATCTATAGTTTTGGAAAAAAAAATTTTTTCTAGATTTTTCCTTTAACAATTTTCAAATGTTTTCTATGGCAATAAGGTCAGAAGAATTTGCTGGCCAGTCTTACATTTTAATTTTTTGGTCTCAACTCATTTTATGGTCTTTTTTTGCAATATGGATTGGACAATTATCCTGCTGAAATACCAGTTTTGAATGTCATTTTTAACTATACAAATCTTCACACAGTCAAAAAAAATAAATAGGTGAGAAAAAAACAAAAAAAAAGAAAAAAAAGGAATTATTTATGAAATATTGCATATTAATATTGTTACTTTGCAATGTGAACATGATTATTTATACTTCTAAACCAAAATTTCAAGCTAATTCAATATCAATAATTCTTTTGTATATTTTATTAACAGCATATAAGTATTTAGATTCATAATAATTATAATCATTGAAACAAAATTTTAAATTAATCCAATATCAAATAATACTTTCCTGATCAATTATCAATTAATTTATAGAAAGTTATCAAGATAAATATTGTTACCTTGACTTTACTTTTATTATTTATTTATACATTTTATTATTATTTATTATTTATTTCTTATTATTTTATAGTATTACAGTAGATCAATTTATTAGGCTATAGTACAAATTAAATATTATTACTTAAATTAATAGATTTCTAAATTCTTGTTAATCTATAACACTAGAATACAAATTAGAGTACTAGTCATAGTATGAGTCAATATTTCAGTTAATTTACAAGTTAAGTTAATAGTTAAGGTACTAGATAGGATATCAACATAGATACTAGTGTAGTTTTCAGTCAGATTACAATTTAGCTTTATAGTTAAATCCATAATGTACATAAAGTCTAAGAATTTTCTCAACTCAGTCTTTAGTTCAGTAAGTTAGAAAGTTAGTTCAGTTAATTCAGATAGTTAGGCAGTTAGTTAAGATTTATTAAGTAATAAAGTTAATATTACAAAATCCTTTGAATTCCTTGTTTATTGTATTCTTTTGATAATTGATAAACTGTTTGTCCCTATTAACAAGTCTTTATACCACTGTTAATAGTTAATACACCCCTTTCATAATTGATTGTACATAATTCCTTCTATACATAAACTCTTTCATTGTGATTGTTTTATTTTGAGATTAGTATTTTTATAATTTTATTAAGTTTTGTTTGTTAGTTTTAGTATTATTTTCTCTCATTGTCTTTGTAAATTGTAGAAGGTTTATACAGATAACAATATTATTAAATAATGCAATTCAATCAACTGCATGAATTTCAAGTATCAAATAATACATCTCTATACCAATATATTATAGGATGTAAATATCAAGATTTTTAATTATTTAATCAAAGTTTCAATATCAACTAACATTTTCCTGATAAATTTAATCAATTATCAACTTAATTGCATGAATATTAATCTCAGTTCATAATTATGAGACATTAATTTGCATCACTTGACTAAGCAATTATCCATTAATTGCAAATTATTAGGGAGTGAATATTTATAATAAATAATGCTTCTCAAACATAGCTCTAATTTGTGTTTAAGATATTGTGTACATGTAATATTTCTTGAAACTAGCAACATTTAAATTTTTTTTAACATCAATTTATCAACTTATTTTTTTTTTAAATCCAATGGAGTCTTGCTCCAATAAACTTTTATTAATAAATTAGGTGTAAATTTTAAAGATGCAAATAATTTATTTTACATTTATTGAAACTGACTAAAAATAACATTTTACCATCCAGCTTATCATTGCCTAAGTGTAACCTCAGGAACTGATGGCCAAAACCCCATCAGATGTAATTATTATATATAACTATAATTATTATTATATTTGCATCCTAAGTTAATTCACATTCTAAATTTATGTATTGTGTTCTTTTCTATTTGTTCTATTTTACTGTATTTCCCTTCATTAGTCTCTACTAACTTTATATTACCATTATATTCTCTTATTTCCTTCACCTTTTTTAAATTAATTTTTTCTTTTTTTCAATCTATTTGTAATATTATTTTTAGCTTCCCATAGTGTCACTTTTTCTTTTCAATAGTCTTTTAAGTACTCTTTGAAGTTAACCATTCCTTCAATAATTGCTTCCCTGATCCTTTCTCTAGATTTCAACATCGATGTAACTTTGAATTCTAATAATTGTGATATGAATTCCTTAATTAATTTGTGTATGTGATCCTAGGTAAACTAATTTCATCCGTTTCTCCCCAACACTTCCATAACTCACTTAGGAACCTAAGTTCACTTTGTATTTTGTCTTCCTCTATTCCATCTGTTTGTTTTTAAATTTTTATAGTTAGGCAATTAATTAGTTGTTTGTAATAATTTGTCATTGGTGTGTATTTACTCTTTTTATTATTATTTCTTTTGTACTCAAACACATGTATATCAGTTTCCTCCTACCTTCCACATAATATACATTTTGAACTGTTATATATGTGAGGTTGATGCTTGAATCTTTTGAGCATTACAGGTAGTTCTCCATTAAAAAATTTCATTGCATCTTCTTTGCTTATGTTATCATTTGTTATCTTACTTGGATGTAATATTTTAAATGTAGTATTATTTATACAAATAAGATGGGATTTCTCAGCATTGATTTGTGTACCTGTTATTTGTGAGAATTCTTCTACTGTTTTTAGTATCTTTTCCATTTGCTTTATATCTTGAGATATGTATATGGTATCATCCATATATGCAAGTGCATTTATCTTATATTTGAATCTTTCTTCATGTGTTCTCATATCCCCATATTGTATTTTTTCCATGTAATAACCTTCTGCCTGACTTTGAATTTGTATTAATAGAGGATTATAATATATTCTCCATAATAGAGGTTATAATGTATCTCCTTATTCTATCCCTAGGTTAGAATTCAATGTTTCTATCAGCCCATAATAGGTTATTACTTTATTAGTTCTAGTTTTTAGTAGTTTATCTATTATTACTATAATTTCTTCTGGAATTTTTATTCTTTTTATACTTTTTTTTAGCATTTCTATATTTACTGAATTAAAGTTTTGATATGTCCTGTGATAAGATCCATATTTCTTTTTTAAATTTTTTTGCTTTCTCTATACAATTATTCAATATATGTATAGGACCTTGGGTTTGATCCCTCAGACAAACCTGCCCAGTTATTTTCATTTAGAATTGTGTGTTTTGTTAATATTGTACTGAGTCTATTATAAATTCCTTTTGTAAATATTTTTCTAGCTGTTTCTAGTAGGGTCATTGATCTAGTATTCTATATATTTTTCTTTCCAATCTTTGAATTTAGCTATAGAGAACATATATCCCTCTGACTATTCTTTTGGTATTTCTTTATTTTTTAAAATCTGATTATATATATCTGTAAGAAATTGTAGTACATTGTTACCTATATGTTTCCATAGTTCATTTGTAATTGTAGATGGACTTGCTGCCATTTTGTTTGGTAATTTTCTGATAATTCTTTCAATTTCTTCTACTGTGAATTTTTTTGTTAATAGTAAGTACCATTCCTCTTGTATTTCATTATTTTGATTATAAATTTGTTTCCACACTTGATTTTGATCTAGGTTTTCTATATTTTTTGAGGTAATTCAATGACTAAATACATTTTTAACTTCTTCTTTTATTTCTTCTAGATCTGTTAATACTTCAACTTGTTTATTGGTTGTTCTAATTAAACTGTCTGTTGATATTCTAGGTCTTTCTTTATTTAGGAAACTTTGAATGGCTATTTTTTTGTTGTCTTGAAAGTTTTTATTTCTTTTGATAATCTGTTCTTTTATTTTTTTTATAATTTGCATCTTTTATTTCTGCATCAAATACTTTGTGTAGAGTATGGTGCATTCTTTTGATCCTTTTGACCAATTTTTAGTCTTTTCTGCTGTTTCTGTTCATGATGGGACTTCAATTTCTATATTATACTCTTTTCTAATGTTTTTTATTTTTTAACTATTTTTTCTTCTAATATGCTCTTTTGTTTTTTGTTAGTATACCACTGTCTGCTCCATTCATGGATCTTTCTTTCAGATATATCAGTTTTCTATATGTGATGAATTAATTATATAGTGCTTTTGATTCTTCATACTTCCCAGATATGAGTTTTTTCTTTTTTGAAATTATTTCATTTGCTTTTCCAATTGTGACATTTCTGAAAAAATTCCATTTTTCCTCAATATTGTCATTTCCAAAGGTGATATTTTCTGCTATAATTAATTCAATCTGTAATTTGAATTTTTCCATTTTTTTTTAGATGTTCCCTTGAAGTTAAATTCTATCTTATTTAGAATTTTATCTGAATCTGTTATGGATTTAGTATATTTAAGAATATTGTCTTCTATTTCTGCTATTGCACATTAGGGTTGTTAATGAAGTATTATACTCCAGAGTAACTCCAGGTTATAACCCACTCCATTATGAAGTGGGTTAAGAATTTCAATTATATAGTAACCTGGGTTATAATTTAATTATAGCTCTGGGTTACTCCAAATAATTTACTCCGGGTTGCTCCACATAGAGCAATAATTTTATTGATTGAAATTTTAATAACTGGTAATCAATTTACAAATTTTTTTTATCATGAATAAAAGATCTGAAGATTTTTATGATACACTTTCAGATAGTAAACCTGAAGAATTTGTTGTTGCATCTGTATCTACAGACTTAGATAGAGAGGAAAGTAATCTTAGTTTAAATTCTAATAGAAATGAAAATGAAACTTTAATTATAACCATGTCTCAAGAATATGAAAATAGTTTATATCGGAAATAATTGTCGATAGTTGCTACATATAAAACGTTTTATTCTATAAGTAAACATTAAAAGCGGTACTAAGTAATTTTATAGACGAGAATGTATTCTATTATCTTTGAAAACTACAAGCCTACTTCATCAAAATTGAGCAAATGTTAGTCGTTTTAATTATTTTCATCCGTTCAAAATTTAAACGTGAATAATTTCCTCAATTTTAATAAAATAGATTTGTATTTTTCATAGATGATATAATACTTTCTTATCTATAAAATTAATTAATACCGTTTTTAATATTTACTTATAGAATAAAAATGTTTATATGTAGCAACCATTGACAATTATTTCCGATTTTATATAAATTATATTATAACATAATTACAACATTATAGTCAAAATTATGGCATTACAGCATTGGCACAATTAAGAGAATAGTTGCAACTCTGCTGTAATACATTGATTTCAGCAGGTATCTTTACTATAGAGTAATCTGGAGTAACCTGGAGTAAAACGGAGTAACCTGAAATAACCTGGAGTAACCTGGAGTAAAACGGAGTAACCTGAAGTAACCTGGAGTAACCTGGAGTATAACCTGAAATATAAACCCAGAGTATTTAATTCAGATTAGGTTGGATTACCTCTTACTCCACTATAATATGAACTCAACCCACTCGCTCCATTAACAACCCTACCTAAATATGATTGATTCAATCTTTATATAAAATCCAAGAAAACGTAGAATTACAAAAATTACAGAGCAACCAAAATATTTTTATAGTTTTTCAATTGTAAATAATAGTTATTTGTAATGTTAAAAGCAAAAAAATTATTTTATTTTAAAAAACTAGTCAAGCTAATTTATATTAATATATAATGTATTCTTCATGTACATAATCCCTAAATCTCTACTGTCTTCCATGATTTTTCTTGCTTCTTCAAGTGATATATTATCTTTATCTTAAGAAATTAAGCATAATGCTGTTTCTGGAACTAATATTTCTAAAACATAATCAACAGGTTTTTTTTAGGATAACTCAATTCATTTGTTAATATATAGGTATAAAGAAAAAGATATCGAGTATTTCAGTTATAATATTCATTCCTCAGGTACTATAATTTTCAGGTTTTAAAATAAATTTGAAGATTAAAATTTAATAAAAATAAATTACAATTAATTGCTTATACCTTTAAAGATTCAAATTGGCCCATTATTATCATAGGTGTATTTGCTTTTTTTTTGTTCAACTTGATTACAAATTTCAATAGTAAATTCTCGATAATGGCTTTCTGTTTTTCTATTTATTATGTTTAAAAGTTCATTTTTCATTTAAATATCATTAGGAACAATTGTTATCTCAGCATAATGAATTTCACAAAACCTTTCACGATCTTCATAGAAAGGTTTACCTATAAATAAACAAATATGTATAAGTCTTTGTTTAAATTTACGTGAATGAATTTATTTACCTTTTTGATTATTAATTTTTCGTAATAAATTTTGATTTCTCTGGCTAATTCTTCTGTACAAAAAATGCATTCTATTAAATATATATTATAATTAGAATTTAAATAAATGATTAAAATAATTATACATTTCTTAAAATAAAAATCTTACTGTTATTGAATCAAAATTAAAAGAATTTTGAGATGCATAATTTGTTTAACTTAACGGTCTATTTTTTTTTATCAATATTATTAACTCTATTATTTTTTGTATTTTTCAAGCTCTCTGCATTATTATTTATTTTATTAGTTTGAGTTGTGTTTTGTGGATTTGACAGTAGTATATGCTTTTTTGTTTTAGAAGATTGAGTAGATTCCAATTCTTTTATTTGAAATTCATCTTAAAATAATTATTATAAATAAAAATTATTAATTATTATTTATATATAAAAATTTTAGATTTTTTACCTTTTGATTTTATAACAGATGGATTTTTTATTTGTTCTTTATTTGAAGCCAAGCTTTTTTTTTTCTGTTAAATGAGATTTGACTTCTTCTTCAAATAAATTATTAAATGAAATATAAAAATTTTTAGTATTTTCAGGTTTTACTTTAACAACTTGTTGAACTTTTTACCATGTACACTTTAAAAGATATTCATAATCATTATTATCATTTTCTATAATATTAGTTTGAATAATTGGATTTGAAATTAAAGAAGTATACAATGTTTCGAATAAGTTGAACAATAACTTTAAAAATATATCTACAAATAATACCAGTAAAAGTAAAATCGAAACATGAACATGAAATTTGATTGAGTGTTGAATTTATTTTACAATCCGTCCATTCTTCACATTTATATATCATTGATTCAGATAACTGTTGTTGAATTTTCTTAAATGCATAAAATGTTAACAATCCATTTGCTTGTTTTTCGTAAGAACCAGATATTATTAATTAATAGCTGAATTTTCTTCTTTATATTTAATAAATGTTATATCATTATTTCTTTGTTCTAGTGCATTTTAAAAATTTAAAAGTGATGTAGTAACATCCATATAACCTTTCATCAAATTATTTATAGATTCACCCCTTTGTATTATAGACATATCTGCTATAAATAAATGTCAATTATAACATGGTACCCAATAATTTAAATTGTTATCCATTCTAGATAAATATTTGATTGTTGTGGGATAATCATTTTTTAATTGTTTTCATTTTTTTAAAAAATCTTGTTTATTATTTTTATTTAAACATTTATAAATAGATTTAATAAATTCTTTCCATTTAAATCCTAAAATTCCATTTAAATATTTTGTTACATTTTTCAATGAATGCCAAAGACATAATGCATGTTTAGTTCCAATTGGTTCAAAAACTTGTCCTATTGCTTTCATCATTACATGATCCTCATCTGTAAGTAATACTTTTGGTATATAATTATTTATTAATTTTAAAAAAGAATTAAATGTCCAATTAAAACTCTTTATATTTTCATCGCATATAAGAGTACCAGCGAAACAAACACTTTGTCCATAATTATTAATACCAGTAAATATGCTGAAAGATATATTGAATCTGTTATTTTATATGTTGTTAGCTTATTTCTTTCTCTTATTTTTATTTCATTATTCTTTATATGTATTATCATCTATATATTATATATATTCTTATCTGTTATTTATTATTAT